ATCACAGTTTGCTATGTCTACTGATGAAGGTGATGGAAAAGAAAAGAAAGAAATCTCAGTTAAATCGGTTAGAGTTTAAAAAACATTAAATTTAAAAAAAAAAAAACACCATTCCTCGTTTCGTGCGCGTATGTAGTCACATCAACACTACAAGCTTATTCCGAGAAAATCCTAAAAGACAAAACGCGGCACAAGAACTTTTTTTTTCCCACTTTTTCATATATTTTCTCAATATATAAATATGTCTGCGTGTGTATGTTCAAATTAAAATTCAGGGACTTCGCACTCTCGTTGCTAGAACCCATCTCTGGTTGAGCTCCACTACTTCCTATCTTTGCCAATACTGCGACCTGCAGGGCAGGGGTATCAGGTCAGATCATCACATCTTGCCTTTGGCCGTCTTCTAGTTCTTATCCTCTGTCTTGCAACCCACTCGTTCGGTCGAATCGCACACCTGTTGTCCCTGAGGTGAGAGACATGGCTAGCCCATCAATATTTTCTCTTCCTGATGCTCTCGATTATTTCCTTCAGTCTGCTAGAAAATCCAGGGAGAGAGAGAGAACTATTCATTCGATTTCAACGCATATGCGCTAAACAGTTCAGTTTTAGAACGAGTAGAATGCCTACAAACATGAATTGATTATCGTGATTAAGACTGGTTTAGATTCAACATCTTGTGAAAGAACCGACCAAAGAGAAATGGTGCACAGTGTACCACAAAACAGTCTCTTCATATCTGACTTTTTCTGCCCCAATACTGGTTGCCAAACAAGGCGTGAGAGCCCAGTCTGCCCTGTTAATTAGTCAATTCCTGTAAGGGTGGGCGGTAAGAAACTGTTCGTATTTCCCCTAGCAATTTATAAGCAAGTAAAAACAATGGCCAATAGATACATACATACATACATTATATATATATATATATATATATATATATATATATATATATATATATATATACACACACACACACACACATATATATATATATATATATATATATATATATATATATTTCTAATTATCATTGAAAAACGTTATAAATTCTATATTAAATAATATTTGTGTATTTGACAATATATCATTTGGAAATTTTCTTGGTTGCATCATGGCAGGTAATATGTCATGCAAATTTTCTCTACTGTTTCACAATTGTAGCTGTCCTTCCAAATGCAGCGTGACTTTAGGATCACCTTTTATATATATATATATATATATGTGTGTGTGTGTGTGTATGTGTGTGTGTGTGCAGTCAACGACGAAATTATTCGTACACATATTTTTCAATATTTTTATTTATTTCTCGGAATCTAATGCCCGAATCACATTTTTTTATAAAATAATATAAGCACAAAAAAAGGAATATAAAACAAAATTTTCAGAACAATAGGTTCAATGACACAAATTTGACAGGTGAATTATGGAAAATAGGAAATGGCAAAATTATACGTTAAGTATGAAAAATAGAAGTTAAACAAATTTTCGCAATATTAATAGTTAATAGCATTGCCTCTCATCATTATAACTTGTTGCAATCGTTTTCTAAAGCTATTGATGAGATTTGAACAACTCTTTTCTGAGATTTTCTTCCATTCTTCAATGCTTATACCTTCTGATTCCTGAAGGTTTTTTGGTGACCGACGATTTATTCGAACTTTCAATTTTTGCCATAGATTTTCAATAGGATTCAAGTCAAGACTCATTGAAGGCCATGGCAGAACTGTCAACTTCTTTTTCTGAAGCCACGCAGTCACTGATTTAGACATATGTTTGTGCCCATTATCTTGCTGGAAAGTAAATCGCAGACCTAGATGAAGACTTTTAGCTGATAGTTGTAGATTTTCATCAAGGATTTTGATATAGTCTGCAGATTTCATTATTCCTCTTATTGCAATTAATTCTCCATGTTTTAATGTTGCCACTGTGTTCTTTGGGAGGAAAGCCTCATTTTTCTTGCTCCAAATCTTCTGTATATCATTATGTCCAAAAAGCTCAATTTTTGTTTCATCACTCCATAGTACTTGTTTCCAAATGCAATTTTCTTTGTCCAAGAACCTTTTGGCAAAATTAAACCAAGCAACAGTGTGTCTTGGTTTGTGAATATATATATATATATATATATATATTTAGGAAGCAACGTTTTTTGTTTTTTTTAAGTATTCCATTAAATACGGCAGAAAAGTAAAATTTAATTAATTTTTATGTAGTTTTTCCCGCGCCCTTACATTTTTCCATTTGGTCAGAGTAAGGCATTGCAAAGATTGTTAATATTATCCATTATCCTAAGAGTTTTCTGTCAATTCTTCAGTCGTTTTCAAGGGGGATTTGTTTTAGATCTTGTTAATTTCTCTTCATATTTCGACTGTTTAAGACGTATGTTTTGTGTTGTTTTGAATACTAGTAGGAATGTCTATTCCGATCATTCGCTTATGCTTCGGGGCTGGAATTTGAGTGAACATCTTTTGTTTGTGTTTTTGTTGTTTTTTTTGTTTTTTTTAAATAAAATTTCAACATCGTTCCCACTGTTAAATAAAGTGAGGTTGATAGTGGGAGAGAGTTGTTTAATATACATGGACTCTTTTCTAGCGAGATGTTTCCAGTAATGTGGTTTTATTATTTTTTTAATAGAATTAAAGTATTATCAATCAGAGTTTTTCTTAACGGTTCTTGTAAATTCCCAACAGAAAAATCTAAGAACCCTGGAAAAACTAAATAAAAAATTAATTAAATTTTACTTGCTTCTCATATTTAACGTTAGACACACACACACACACACACACACACACACACACACACACATATATATATATATATATATATATATATATATATATATATATATATATATATATATAATTAATTTTAGTTATATTTAATTAATTTTTATTTAGTTTTGCCCACGTTCTTACATTTTCCATTTGCTCAGAGTAAGGAATTGCAAAGATTGTTAAAGTTATCCATTGTTCCAAGCGGTTTCTGTCAATTACTCAATCATTTTAAAGGTGGGGGAGGTTTAGTTTTGGCTAATTTCTAATACAATAATTTAATTTATAATATTTATAATAATATATAATAATAATATATAATAAATATATAATATATATATATATATATATATATATATATATATATATATATATATATATATGTATATATATATATTATATATAATATATATACAATCTATACTATATGTAATAATTTAATGTATATATATATATATATATATATATATATATATATATATATGGGATAACGTTATATAATTTTTATATATCAAGATGGATTTTAGTAGAATGTTGTGTGACAAAGAAGAGCCCTATCAATAGTAGTCACCCCACATATTAATATCGAAATTAAACAACTAACACTGAAGCAAATTATTTGTGTGCATAGTCATAAAATGTAACTTAGTTGACGAACATTTAACACCATTTTGAAATTTTCCATGTTGCAATTTTACTATGATTATTCCCCTTGCATTGCGAACACTTGTTTAAAAACATAGTAACCAAAACGGTTAATTTTCAAATATCTATAGCTGAACGCGTTCACTTGTGTTAGCAAAATAACTATCACAACGATTATAGCTACATTAAGTTTGTCCACGCAATTCACACATGTGAATGATCTTGTATCAACAAAAAATACAGCGCCTTTCTTGATCAGTTTCAAATTAACATCAACAAGATAATTAGAGAACGAGAAAGATTATTAAATAGATAAAATAGGTCTATATTATTTAATGAAACATACATAAATTAAGGTATGCTGCATATATATATATATATATATATATATATATATATATATATATATAATGAACAACAGACACTTCAAGGTACCATGACAATAATTTATTTCACCGAAATCCTTTTTAAGGGATTTTGGATCATCAGGTAATCCTTCCAACACATGAAATGAGAGGAAAAATATGATTAGAAATTGATGGGTAGTGTAATTTTATATAATTAAATAGGGAGGGTGAAGGTGGCGGTTAAAGAGACAATACAAAATATAGTGAGGGTTAAATTTACATCTATCTTAAATAAGCTTTAAATTGGGGTAGGAGGAGTAATATATATATATATGTTAAGCATTTCACCCCAAGCCAGGTGGAAGTGCCACTAACACGCAAGGTGTTACAGAGAGTGGGAGCAAGATTAAAGAGGCGTGATAGAAGAAAGGATGAAGAGAAGGACGGGGAAAAGATCAAGGCATCTGGAGATGCCGATTGACCTTTCATTTGAATAGTTGGAGATTATAGCAATCAGAGAAGCAAGTAAGAGGAAGGAAGTTCTACAGACGGGAAGTGCAAGACCAATCTATTGCTGTAGAAGATACGGCTACATTTACCGTTTCGACTGGGTGGGACTGAAAGTATTTGTAGAAAAGACAGAAGGAAGCGACGGTACGTCTGTGAGAGAGGACTGTAAACGAGATGCCAGATCAGGGCCAACCACATTGCGTATCCGTCACCCGTCTCTGGATTTGTTTTAAGACGAATAGGGGGGGACCATATATGACATCAGTATTCCATGCAAGGTCGAATGGTTGATTTATAGATTTGAAGAATATATATATATATATATATATATATATATATATTTTGGTTGGATAGATGTGAGTTTGGGACCCTGGGTTTGACGCTTTAGCGATCGTCAATATATATATATATATATATATATATATATATATATATATATATATATATATGTCGAGTAGAGTTTAAATCCTTGTCATTTCTAAGCACGTATCAGTTGAAGCAAAGCTTTCTAATATCAATTATATTACTATACGTAATGGTATAAAATGTTACACAATTATTTGAGAATTCAAGGCGCGAAATTGCTTCTAAAATTTGGTAAGTTTTAACATTTTCTAGTATATTTCCAATTTTCTTATGCTGTCGGATTGGATATAAGGTGTTTTCTCAAAATACTTGAAAATTATGGCCGGAAATAACTTTATGAAAAAATGAATAAACACACACACACACACACATAGATAGATAGATAGATAGATAGATAGATAGATAGATAGATAGATAGATAGATATAGATATACCCATACATATATATAGCCAT